GGGTTTTCTTTGTGGTACGTTTTTAAGACACAAATTCAATTTCATTAATAGATATAGGACTATCTATTAATATATCTGCTAAGAAGAGGTTATTATCCTCTTCCTTTTTTTTTTTTTTCCTTTGAGGATGAGACTTATATCTGGGTCATCATTTTGTCCCAAGCACATCCCTGGCACATAGTGGACCAGGAATAAATGTTTAAAAACACTGTTTCATAGGGTCATTGTGAAGATGAAATCAAATTAATCCTATATATTACTGTATTTTGCAAACTACAAACTATGCAGATAGCAGGCAAAGGGCATTCCAATGGCAGGGAGGGGTCTGTATAGCAAACCATGAACTAAGGAGACAAACTCTGAGTTCCAATGCTAGCTCCACTGTTCTAGACACATGATTTAGGGCTAGCGTTTTTACAGATGAGGAAACCGAGGTTGAGAGAGGTGACTTTAGGTGTGGTACCACATCTAGGAAGTGATAGAGTCGGCACTCAAAATTCTACTCTTGCCTTCAAATCCTGTTTATTTTTACCATGCCATATTTTCATTGTGAATAGGATAGGGAATGCTGAGTTTGTGGGAAAGGTTGAAATGCCCTTTTTTTTTTTTTAAATTTAAAGCAAGTGTGGACTATGTCCATATGGAATATTTATTTATACTTCTTTTGGTTTAGCTACTTCTTATTGATCTTTCTAGTGTTAGTTTAGATGTGTCTTCCTTAGGGAAGTCTTCCTTACCCACTCAACACCCTGTTTAAGAACTAGGTCAATTTTCCCACTTACTGTGTAAAACTCTCACAAGAGCATACGATTATTTTCACAATGAACATTCATTAGCCATTATTTGTGATTGTATTTTGAGAAGACTTAGGTAACAAAATTAAATTTTTATTGAACTGGACACAATATGTTGCATAGTTCAAAAAGTACTATGTGGAAAATGATAAATGGATAAAGAATAAGTGTTCTTAGCAGCACAATCTTGACAAGGCTAAAGAGTCAGGGATGGGACGAAAAATACACTTCATTTTTAGGTGAGATATACCCTTACATTATGAGGCATAATCCAGTTAATCTTTTTATGTAATTACTGTAATACTCTCAAACCATGTCTCTATTTGACAAGATATGCAAGCTCGGATAGAGCTTAACTTTTCGCAGTGAAGCAGAAGCTTAGGGCTGGAGTGGTTTCTGACATCTAACTTCAAACCGTTATGGTTTTGAGTTGCAGTGTGCTTTGCGTAGGTTTTGTGCCCTCTTTGCTTGCTAGAGCTGTGGGAATGGGCAGTAGCCCCCATGTGAGGGTCTTCGTGCACTCCTCCTGCCAGATGGGAGAACTGAGGCTTCTTGCTCTCTCTGGCTTTCCATGTGGCATTTGTGAACAGCTTGATGTATTTGACACAAGTGTGACAGCAAAGAAGTGTGTGAGCTGAGCAGTGTGCGGCAGGGCCCAGCTGTGTGGATTTATCTGTACATCAGGCCGGGGAGCAGCAGTTAGGCAGATCTGACAGTCAAACGAGAGCTCCTTCTACCTGCACTCCAAAGTGCATTTTAATGTTGTGTGTGTTTACCGACTGGTTGGCATTTGACACAAAGAAATTGTCAGAGCTGGTTTTTTCCCTCCTCACTCTTTGGTGTGCTAGTCTGCGGTAGTTTCCCAAATAAATACTTCATTGTACATGGAAAAAAGTATATACTTTCTAAAACAAAACCCCAGATCATGTCATCTTTATCTTTATACTGAATTCCACATTAAGAATTAATATAATAGGTAATATGTTTGAATTGGTAATAGGTAATATGTTGAATCAGTAAGATGTTTATATAGTTCAAAAATCAAAACAATATTAAATAGAATATTTTGAGTAGTCCTGCTCTGCCTCTGTTTGTTTCTAGTCATTTTCTACCTCTACTCCTGACAGATAACCACTTTAAAGGTTTGTCATGTATCCTTTATGCTTCTGTATGCAAATACAAGCAGATGTTCTCTACTTGCTTAGTACTTCCCAATATCTCTCAGAGAGCTTTTTATTTCATTAACAGGGAGCTTCCTTGTTCTTGTTCACTGTTGCATTGTATCTCATGGTGTGGATATACTGTAATTAATTTCATTGTTCCCAGTGGATGGACATTTGCATTGTTTCTAATCTTTTTGTCTTATGGAGATAATAATTCACATAACATAAATTCACCTTTTAAAGTATGCAGTTCATTGGGTTTTAGTATGTTTCCAAGCTTTTGTTCTATAGATAATGATGTAATGAGTAACTTTGTATATATTCCCCTGAACAGGGTATAAATATATCTGAAGGCTAAATCTTTAGAAGTAGGATTACTGAGTCATGTGGTAAATGCATTTGAATTTTGAAAAGAATTGGCAATTCCCCCCCCCCCATAAGTATTGTACAGTTTTGCACTCCTGACAACAAAGTATGAGAGGGCCTGATTCTCTCAGTCTTGCCCACAGTGTTTGCTTTTTATAAAGCAGTCTTAATCTTTAGTTTTTATGAAGCAATCAACAATCTTTAATTTTGATGTTCATGAACTGCCAATTTAATTTAATATTGACTTATGATTTATTTTACCAGCGTAAATGTGACTAAAATGTCTATTTATGTTTGTAAATATTGTTATTGATAATTGGTCTTGTCAGTTAATTAGTAAAATTGTGAGTAGTGATTGTTGATGTACAGAGCAGATTTTTATCTGTATGGACTTAAGTTGGGTCATTTTCTGGCCCCCATTTTCTGCTGTCATAGAGATATAATGATGCTTACAGTATTAAAATTCTTAGTGGAAGAAAATCATTTATATCCTGCTTACTTTATAGTGAAAGCATTCTTGTAGACTTTTATCCTTTTGATCCAGCCTTTCAAGTTACAATGTTTTATACCTGTCTGATACTCTGGGTCTCAACTGAACTGAGAAGTCATTGTTTTTACAAGAATTTAGCCGAAGTGTTAATTATATGAGCAGAGTTTTAGGCCTCCACTGGTGCTCATTGACCTATGAGACAGGTCTATTGCTGTTGAATCTGATTTTAGGTAGAGTAGGTCATCCCTTTTGGGAATCTGTATCTTTGTGCTCCTCTTTATACACAGATTAACTTTATTGATGGAATTTCATGAAGAGATCTCAAAGTGGTTTTTGTGAGATGGAGCCATTTCAAAATTTGCGATATCATGTGCATTTGAATTATTCAAGGCTTAATTCTTTTTGCATTTATAAACATTCTGGCTCTTGTGTCTATAAAAAGGACTAAGAATTGGTAAAAAGATTCATAGGAAAACACAGGCTTTCCTGAGTTTGAAGTAAAAATTGAGATACAGATTTTGATTAAATTAGTGTTAGAGTGCATATATGTGCGAGTATATGCATGGAAATATTGTTGGTTCTCTTTATGCCCCAAATAATGGCTACTACTGAAAACAGATAAACCATTTAACCAATCAGTGAATTATCCAAACTTCTTTGTCAGTTATCCTCAATAGTTAGTATTATAAGTCCTTAGTAAAGAAAAACTCTTCAGAGTTTAATCGGTAGTCAGTCTTTTCATTATAGATGAGAAAATACCTACAGTCAAAACAGAGGCTTTGATTAAATAAACAAACTAGAATTATGCCTAAGAGTAGGATTTACTGTTTTGTGTCTCGTAAGTTGACTGGATGCTATATTTCTATTCTTCTCCCCTTTATTCACTTTAGATAATGATACAAAAGGTCTAGAAACAATTTGAGTTCTACCCAAAAAGGATGTTTTCTCTGGACTATTCTGATTGTGATAAGCTTGTGAGAGAAGGCTGCTCTCCTGGGGTTGGAGAGGAAAATACCCAGGGCCACCTGAATCGAGCGGGTTGTCTGGTTGAACAGGTTGTGCACTGTATGGACAGTTGCTGTTGGAGCAGGTGGAGGCTGAAATGCAGTTTGTGTTTACCAAGCGATGTTCTATCCTATGGGACTGCATTGGCCCAGAGCAGGGTGCAGTGTTTTCTAGGTGCCTTATTGGCTGACAATAGCCCTGATGATGCATTTTATTGCAGTTTTATTTGAAAATAAATTGTTTCTGCTATTTTTCTTTTTTTTTCCTTGCAAATAATTTCTGATAGTTTACGGATCTATGTGTATGTGTGTCTGTGAATGTGTACACACATTTTTGCCATTTGTATGCCATGTACACATACAGACTCCATATGTGCATTAGTATAAGATTAGGTGTTCTTTGAAAATATCCGTTAGAAGGAGAGAGGGACCTTCTATGTATTTGATTCCTTATAATATATTTTAGAATATGGGGTCTTCTCTCAATTACTTTGTTTGAATAGCACAATACAGTTTGAGGAAGACATAGTCTCCTCAGACATCCTCAGACAGTGCTAGCTGTGATTGCTAAAAAGGCTTCTTCATTAAATTGGAAAAGAAGCCAAGATGCTTAACACAGATTTAGTAATTACTATAGAGATGAAAGATCACTTTTAAAAAGCAATACTTTAAGTGGATATAATCTCAAATAAATGTTTTCAGGATGAATAAATATTCCAAATATCCTGACTTTATGCAAATGGATACTTGTGGCTTGGTTTGGTATTTCCAGTGATACTACCATAGAAGAATTTACAGACTACTGTGTCTTAAGCAGATTATACAAACAGCAAGGTTTGCTCTGGAAAACTATATTGGATGCTTCAAAACACGACTCTAGTGGTGAAAAAGACCCTGATGTCAAAGATACATGTGAAGAGTGAATCAAATTGCCTCAATGAAATATGAGAGTGAATAAAATCATTGTTTCTAAATTAATGCTTTATACAATGTGTAATTTAAAATATATATAATTCAATTAATACATTTTATAGTTGGCATTTGACTAATTTCTGGCGCTAAAAGTTTATACATTCAAGTTGACTAAATTTTTTTGGGTATTCTCTTAATGGAACAAGAAGAGATTATCTTATATTTTGCATCATTTTATATTCAATCATATGTAATTATTGTTTTCACACAGAAACTGAGGCTTCTTGAAGAGCTTGAAGATACTTGGCTTCCTTATCTGACCCCCAAAGATGATGAGTTCTATCAGCAGGTAAGGTATTTTAATATTTTTATCAAGTGCAGTGATATGTTGTGATTGACTTTATTTTACCTATGAGGAAACTATGGTCTAGAGAGGTTAAATGAGAGGTGAAAAAGATCTGATTTGATTGTCCAATGACGCCTCATTGTCTACAGAGCATATAAATTTCTTCACAATCTGCTTTCTGCTCTGAAATTCATGCTTAAGCATCGTGGACTGTTTTACTTCCCCAAACATTCCATACTCTCCCATTTCCTTGCCTCTGCTCATATTGTTTCTTCTACATAGAATATCCTTTTGCCCTTATCCTATTGCCAGATGGCTAATTCTTCAAGAGTTCAGTTAAATATCACCTCTTTTGGGGAAATTTCTCCAATTTACCCTGCTATAAGTCAAGTTGGCTGCATTCTCCTCTGTGATACTTGTTCCTTATAAATAACTCTATACTATAATCTATCCCATTGCATTGCGATTATGGGATTCTGTGTCTCTCTCCCTGAATTAGCACTTTTTCCATTACAAGTGACAAAAATCCAAATCAAAATTTCTATGGCAAAAAAAAGAGGGAAGTATTTATTGACCCACCTTAGAAGTCAGGGTACATAGCTGAATCCAAGTTCTCAAAAGACATCATCTGATCACTGTTTTTCCTCTGTTTCTTGGCTTGGTTTTTCTCTGTGTGACTTCATGTTGAATATGCTCTGATGTGGTCTTTAGCATCGTAGTTCTTTTCCACTGGTTCCATCAGATTCTCCAAGTGAGTGGTCTCAGCTTGGTTAGAGTCATGTGCCTGTCCCTGAACCAGTCCTTGTGCTCAGGAGAGTTGGATGCTCCTATTTGCCTGGCCTGGTTCATGCATTCATTCTTTGAGCAGAGTTGGAGTGGGAGAATTCCCATGCAAACTGCATGGACTGTGTGAGTGAGAGATGGATGGTTACCCCAAAGGAAAATTAGAGGCCTGTTTCTGAAGAAGGAGAGGTAGGCATGCTGGGCAAACAAAATAATACATTGTCACCTATTCTCTCTTACTAGAATGTAAGCTCTTGGGGTATAGGAATTGGGTCATATAGTCTTCTGTCTCTAGCATCTTGCTTGTTATAGCAGACCCTCAGTAAGCAAAGAAGGAAGGGAGGAAAGAAGGAGTTTGCCCATTTAGAATCCAGGTCTCTTGACATCCAGTTCATCATCCTTTCTAGGATGTTGTCTCATCTCCATTCTCATTAGGTCTTCATTGTCTTTCTCCTCATCAGTCCTCTTACGGGTCTCTCTAGTTTTCCTCTTTGTTCCCCCTTAATCCTCAAAGCTGCGGTATTTTCTAACCAAGACATAAATCTGTCTTGTCAACCCTCCTCTTCAGATCCCCGGTGGCTGTTCATTGCCTGGCTCCTGCATTGCAGCCTCATCTCCCCCACTCTTCCACCTTTGCATCCACACTGGGTTTTTGTAGTCCCTCAAGCTAGCTTGCAGTTTCATATTTGGGACCTTCTTGCTACATCCTCTGCTGACATTCCTCCTTCTCCTTACCTGTCTCTTCTTTCCTTGGTGAACTTCTGTGTTACCTGGTAGTAATAGTGCATGTGTCGTCTCCTGTAGAGAGCTTCCCTGACATCTCTACAGCCCAGAGAATTGTCTTTGCTTCCTCCCTTATACTTTATCTATACCTTTATTAGCACTGATCTCATTTGATTGTAATGGTGTTTTTTTTATTCATCTGTTTTGGTCTGCTACCTCATCCTCTCTTCTTTGTACAGTGCTTGTACCTAGCAGGTGCTTAATTAGTTTACTTGAATGAATGCATACATGCATTCGTTAATTTTAAAAGCCAGTTATATAATAATGAGTTTAGTATGATTTGAATTTTTTTTTTTTTTTACGTACACATATACTTTTCCAGGGTGGTAGTATTTAGAAAGTTTTGAAGGATAAATACAGAAATGTATCGCATAGTGATAAGGTGTTCTTCTTTGAGCTTTCCTCGTTTTCCAAATTATCTGCAATGAACATGTATTCTTTTGCAATCAGGGGAAAAAATAATATTTAAAAGTACTCTTAAAACAGGTAAACTTTCAGAATATAATTAATTCTGAAGTGCTTTCTAACATTTTCTTAGATATAAGCCTTCTGGTATGTGCATTGTTATAAAGCAACTGCCGAGCCATTTCAGCTTTTGTATTGTAGAAGTGGTACATGGAGAATGAAATGCAAAAGGTTATCAGCCCACTGTGCTGTGAACCAACCATACACTGAGGAATAAAAGGAAACCCAAATGCAAACAGCAACTATCAAGGCTCTCTTTTATCTCTCCAAGACCTACAACAAACCCTGATACTGATATCTAATCACTCTAAGTGCACCTTATAATAAGGCTTAGTGCTTCAATAAAACCTTAGTGAAAGTAAACTTATTCTCTTAAAAGATGAAGTGAAAATACTTTTTAATGACATGGATAAATAGAAAGTTCAGACCTGACATTGGGTCCCTTAAGTAGGCCCTCACCATAGGAATGCCAGTCCAGCTGCCAGTCATGAAAACAACTGGCAGGTTTCATGTTTGACCTTTACCGTGTGCCAGGGATGGTGCTAAATGTTTATGAATGCTCTCATGTTTAATCATCACACCAGACTAATTCATTCCTTCCACAAATACGTATTCAGCAACTATTCTTTTCTTCAAGCTTGAGGTGGGTATTATCGTTCCAGTTTTAACAATCAGGAGAGGAGCTGGGCGCACCTGTAGTCCCAGCTATTTGGGAGGATTGCTTGAGCCCAGGAATTCAAATCCAGTCTGGGCAATATGGCAAAACCCCTATCTTAAAAAAAGAAAAGAAACGAGAAGGAGACCCAGAGAAACTAAGTTACTTACCTGAGTGGCAAAGCTTGAATTCACGCCCATATTTGCCTGACTCTGAAGGCCCATGTTCTTTCTGCTGTATTGCACACCTCCCTGTATACCAATTCAAAACATCTTCAGAGAAGTTTCGCAGTTTGTTTAGATAAGATCATAGAGCAAAGAAGTAAAACAAAACAACAAAAAGGTCAAAGAAGAAAAGCAAGGAGAACCTCTGTTGTTGGCTCACTGTGGTGCACAAGGAAATGAGGAATTACATAGTCAGGAAACACACTCTGGCTTCCAGATATACGAATGCTGCCCTTCTTGTCTAGAGAAAATGCTTCTCTCCTCAGTATTCCCCTTTGCTTTCATTTATCGTGTGCTTGCCATGTGCCAGGTTGTTCTGGTGCCGTTCTAAGTACACAACATGTATTAACTCATTTAAATCTTACCAATCAGCTAGGGTGGTTGTTATTAAAACCTCATTTAATTAATTAATTACTTTGGAGACAGAGTCTTGTTCTTTCACTCTGCTAGAGTGCAGTAGCATTATCATAGCTCACTGCAGCCTCTAACTCCTGGGCTCAAGCGATCCTCCTGCCTCAGTCTCCAGAGTAGCTGGAACTACAGACATGCACCATCATACCTGGCTAAGTTATTTATTTTTTTGTAGAGACAAGGTCTTGCTGTGTTGCTCAGGCTGGTCTTGAACTCCTGGCCTCAAGTGATCCTCCCACCTCAGCCTCCCAAAGTGCTGGGATTATAGGTGTGAGCCACTGCGTCTGACCTAAAATCTCATTTTAGAGATGAGGAAACTGAGGCACAGAGAGGTTTAAAACTTTGCTCAAGATTTATAAGTAGGAAGTTTTGGGACCACAGTTTGAGCCCAAGCTGTCTGGCTTTTGGATTTGTAGTCTTAAGAACTCTACTGCTTCCCTTTGACCTTGTCTTTCCTATTCTTTCTGAGATTGCTGTGCTTTTATGCCAGTGATCCCAAACCTCTGTTTCCATCCCTGCACTCCCACGTGACCTTCTGTGCTGTAATTCCAACTGCCTACAGAGCAGCTCTACCTGAAAGTCCTACAGGTACATCTAACTCAACATGATTCATGTTAATTAGTTACTTACTCAGACAAATGTATTTAGCTCTCCCACTCTATGCTAGGTAATGTTTTAGGCATTCAAGATGAAGTTATGAAAACAGAGAAAAGATTCCTGCCTTCTTTGAGCTTATTGCTTGTGGGGCTGGTGGTGCAGGAGCAAGCCATGTAGATACTTGTGGGAAGAATGTTCTGGGAACAGCAAAGCCTCTGAGGTATGTTTGAAAAGAAAAGCACCCGAGGCTAACATATCTGGAGCAGAGTGAAAGAGCTGGGGTGCGGGGCCAGGTTGGGGGGAGCGGAGGAGATACAATCAGAAAGCAGCAGGCCGGGTTACACAGGAACTGGCAGTCTGTCATAAGGCCATCGGCTGTTACTCTGAGTGAGCTGAGGAGGCGTGAGAGGGTTTGGAGCACAAGTGTGACAGGATGTGACTTACATTTTAGTAAGGCTCCATTTTCCAAGGCTCCTCTGCGCATTCTCTTCTCTGATGGCATCCACTTGTCCTGTTCTTCAAATTAGAAACCTCACTGTCCTCAACTTCTACCCATTGCTTCCATCCCTCATTCAGAAACGGGGCCCTGGGAGTTTTACCTATTCAGAAACCCTCTAAATGTTTTTTCTTTCCCAGTCCTACCGACACTGCCTTGACTGTGTAGTTCAGGCCCAGATTTAGCACCTTCGGCCTCCACAGTTTTTTTTTTTAATTATTTTTTTTATTTTGGCATATTATGGGGGTACAGATTTTAAGGTTTCAATAAATGCCCATTTCCCCCCCTCCCCGGCCTCCACAGTTTTAACATCCTCTTGACCAGTGTCCCTTGCGTCCTCCCCGATGCCATCGGAACTGTTTTCCTATAAATACATCTGACTTGTACCTCCTTGTTTGATAAAGTTTGCTGAGTCTCTCTTGCCTCAGAGTTCAGACTTGCCTAACGTTCAGACTTCTCAGCATATTTATCCTATAAGGCCATTGACTCTATGACCCCAAACCATCTCTCTGGTCTAATTTCTGCTCATCACCTAGCACAGTGTCCACCCTTAAACTCCTGTCATGCAGAGGTCCTTGCTCCCCTCCCC